GGGAGCTCTCAGACGTGCTTCAGTTAGGGTTAGCCCCCTCCCTCTGTCCCTCAACCACCAGCCTTATTTTTAACCCTGCTGACGAAAGATAATCCGAATGAAATCAAGAAGAGTGACTGATCCCTGCCCCTCCCCCTGCCCCAGTTACTGCTCCTTGCCTTCCCCCCAGCAGGGTCAGAGCCCTCCTAGGAGACCCTCCCCCAGAGGCACCAGGCCAGACCCCAGGACTGGTGGTGGGAGAAGAAATGGTTGTTGCATTTCCCTTCCAGGAGCCAAACTCGGGGAGGGTCCTGGTGCTTAAAGAGAACTGCTCAAGGCTCTGGGGGGTTGAGCAGGCTGGGAACTGCCGAAAATAGAGCTGGATTTTCTCTCTGTCTGTCTAGCACATGCTTCTCAAACTTCAGAGAGCAGTGGAAGCATCTTGAGAGCTTATAAACATGGATTCCTGGCTTCTCCCCCAGAAATTCTGATTCACTAGATCTGGGGTGGAGCCCGAAAATCTACGTTTCTAGCAAGCTCCCAGGTGATGAGGGGGCTGGGAGGGCATGGACCACACTGCGAGTGGCACTGGACTGGAAGCCGTGGCCTCTGGGCAACAGCGATTTGGCCGGCCCTTCACCCTCTGAGCTGCCAGATAGACCCCATCAAGACTGCCTCGGGCCGAGGGTCTGCAGAGCTTTGAAGGCTGTGCTAAGTAGTTGGGACTTTATTTTGAGCACGGTAGGTAGCCTTGCAAAGATCTTGAGCAAGAGGTGAGGCTACTGGATGTATGGGGTAAGCCAGCTCATGGTGGCGCTGCGTGCAGGATCCATGGTAGGGAGCGAGCCAGGAGGCAAGGAGGTGGCAGATGGGGGTGGGGGCTTTGCAGGAGGAGTGACAGAAGGATGGAGAGGTGGGCACATTCTAGAGCTTAGAGGGAGTAGAAGGGACAGTAGGTGACTGGTGGCTGTGGATGTGGACGGGGATGAGGAGGGAGCGTGTGGGAGAGCACTGGGATTCTGGCTGGAAGGCTGGGGAGCCGGGGAGCCATTCCTGAAATCAGAGCCACTGGTGAGGGGAGGGCTGATAAGGGATTTGATCGATCGGCCAGGCTGATGGACGCGGGCAGGAGTGAGCTTCCTTCCAGCACAGCAGCCCTCACTGCCTTGGGCTGTGTGGCCTCCCCCTTCTCAGCCCTGTTCTGGCTGCCCTGAAGAGTTCACAGTTGATCCCCGAGAATATTCCAGGGCTTTGGGTGAAGGCTGCCGTTCCGGCCTGCGGAGTCCTGCAACACCGCTTCCCAGGCACTGGGAAACAAGCCTCATCCAGCTTGCATTACCAAAAAAGGACATTTTCTCAGTTTGAAGGTTTGCCCAGCCCTTTCCCTCCTCCCCCCACCTGGGGTTTCAGGTTTCCAGGGAAGTGTTTCTGGAAAGTTCAGGACTTTGAATCACACATACCCATGTACAGGCATATATGAGCCTGGGGATATGCATGTACGACTCGCAGTTTTGATGTCATAAATGGCATCTTCCTCCTTCTCCTCCTCCTCCCTCACCACCACCACCATTATCACCGCCATCACCACCATCACCACCACCGCCACCACCACCACCACCACCACCACCACCACCACCACCACCACTCAGCCCCATGCTGGGCTAAACACTGTCATATGCTGCCTCTCTTTAGTTTTCACAGCAACTCCCTGAGGGGAGAAGTATTGTCTTCAGGGTACTGATTAAGAAACTGAGGCACAGAGAGGCACAGCTACTCACCAAGGTCCTAGAGCCCCAGTGGGATCAGGACTAGGCTGAGGCAAGGGAGGCAAGTCACACAAATGCAGGGTCTGATCCAGTCTTTATTCACATTTTGTTCATAGCTTGTTCATCAAGGACTTTTTTTTGCACTAATTTTGACTTTTAAAAATAATGCGATAGAATAGTATTTATCTTGATTACTGAGTTTTTTGGTATCCCCCTAAGTTTTGAGCCCAGGTGAATGCCTCACTTGCCTCACCCTGGCTGCGGCCTCGGCAGAGCCACAGTTGGAATCCAGGGCTGCTGACGCCAAAGCCGTGCTTGTAGCTATTGCCGATGTTGCGCCCTGGTCTGTACACGTACGCGTGTGTGCGTGTATGCGTACGCTCACTTACGCACTCTTTAATTCAGCAAAATATTCTTCCCTCCAGTAAACGTTGTGGCAGTGTGGCAGAGTGGAGAGGGCGGGGGCTTGGGAATCAGACTGTTCTGGGTTGGAACTGCACTCCTCGTTACTGAGTGGAAGTGTTGCCCGTCGTTAAGGGCACAGACTCCAGATCCCAGAAAGCCTTGGTTTGAAAGCTCACTCTGTCGCATGCCAGCCGTATAAGTTTGGGTGAGTTCCTTAGAGCCTGCTGTGGCCTGGATTTCTCCTCTGTAAAGAGGGATGATAGTAGTAACATCTGCCACGTAGAGTTATTGGGGGAATTAAAGGAGGATTTCCGTAAAGCCCTTGGCATGTGGTAAATGCTTTGTAAGCAAAGCATCATTTTGTGTTATTAAGCATCATTTTGCATCCTGGACCAAGATACCTGTCTGAGACTCAATTTCCCCACCTGTGAAGTACGGACAGTGAAAACTACTTCCCAGGCAGTTGTGAGGATTGAAAGGCATAACATAGGTAAAGGGCCTGGGACGGGGCGGGAGCTTAATAAAATTTATCTCCCCGATCAGGGGCTCAATTCTGTGCTGGAGACTGAGATACAGACACACATACACAGACACACGCACAACTCTCCCGGTAGTTAACTCGTCTGCATGTGTGGGCACTGATTTGACCTTTGAGTTTCCCAAAGGCACAAGCTCTTACTCCCCCCAGGGCCTTTGCACATGCTCTTCTCTCTACGTGGCTTGCTGTCCCCTCCTCACCTCTATGGGCCTACTTTATGTGTTTCTCCGTCTTAGCCTGAATGTCACATCCTCACGGGAGTCCTCCTGACCGCCCCCTCCACTGCCGAGCTGCATCAGGTCGCCCTGTTCTGCATGCTCAGTGCATTCTGTACTCTTCCTTCATGACACGTCTCACAACTGCAGTGAAGAATTTTTTATTTAATTACATTTCATTAAATAACTTTGTTGTTTATTTACTCCCCATTCCCCCTCACTGGACAGTGAGACAGGCACCAGGCTTGTCTCGTCCACAGGAATCTCTGTCCTCAGCTCCTGGCCACATGAGTGGCACATGCTCCAGAGTGCGCTCAAGCACACAGGCCCTGGAGTCATCTGGCCTGGGTTCAGAATCCCAGATCTTGCACTTAGTGACTCTGAGAGCTTGGGCAAGTTATTGAAGCTGTCTGTGCCTCAGTTTCCTGTTCTGTAAAATAGGGAAAATAGTAAGAGCACTGGCTTCCTAAGGCATCACGAGATTACGTGAGCTCATCCCTGCAACTCCTTTAGAGCGGTGCCTGGCCCATCAGTCAGGGGCTGTGACTACTTAGTAGTTACTAATAGTTATTAGTATTAGTGTTATTAGTCAGGCTAGACTAACAGCTGAAACAAACATGCCCCAAATCTCAGGTGCTTAACGGAATAAACGTTGAAGACTTGTTTAAATGTTCCACATTTAGTGTTTAAATTTAATGCTTAAATGTCCCACATTCCAGTGGGTCTGTGGGCGGGGGACTTTGCTCCATGCAGTAATCACTTATGGATCCAGGTTCCTTCCACTGTGTTTCTTAACCTGGGTCTGCAGGGGATTCTCTGGGTATAATTCAGGGAGTCCATGAACTTGGATGCTGTCATAGATTAGATTCCCTAGAAGCTGGATCGAAGATGGGGATTCTGTGCAGGTGTTTATTGAGGGACCACTCTCAGGAGAGGGGGGGGTGAGAGAGGTGGGATGGGATCGGGAAGTAGCCAAGCAAGGGTGTGGTCTTACGTGGAGTCTTGCTTCAGCCTGATCCCACAGGAACTCTGGACCCAGGATAAGACCACAGAGTTGCTTCCTCCTGGGACAGGAGGGGGCTGGGCAGTGTCATTAGTCATTGGTTGGGCTTTCTGGGTTGGGGGAGCTAGGGGGTTTTGACCTCTGGAATAAGATGGCTTCTTGATTGCAATTCTCTGGGACAGCAATGAGCCATTAGCAATCGGCTGAGCAGCTGGGGGTGGGTGCATTTGCCCAGTGAAGGGATCTGGGCAGGGTACCAGCGGTCTACATCAGATGGGAAAACTACATCTTTATTTTTCTTAACCTCTAACTGAAATTTAGCATTTTCTTTAATTATGGAAGCAGGCAATAAACCACAGTAGTATTAGAAGTATCTGTGACTTTGTCACCAATAGAAATCACAGATATTTTCATGTCACATTACTATTGTTGCAGTATCCTTGAAATATCCTTTATGCTAATGTATACTTTAAAACTGTGGTAGTTAATAGACCTGCTAGTATTTTGTTTAATGTATTAATAAAGAAGGACATACATTATTATATTACAAATTTGTTCCTTTAGATATTTTGGTAACAGTGTGTCAGTATAATTGCATCCCTTTGTAATCCTATGTAATTTATGCATTTCAAAACATTATTCTGAGAAGGGGTCCATTAGGCATCACCAGATGCCAGAGGGGTCTGTGACACAAAAGAAGTTAAATGCCTTGTTTAGGGACGTTGGACTCCTCTGCATTTTATAGCAGTGGGGGAAAAGAGAGGACATAGAGGATTACAGGGGAGATTTTTATGGACCAGGCCTGGAAATGGGCTACAAAATGTCTTCCCACAATGCATTGGCCAGGACTCAGTCACCTGACCACATCTAACTGCAAGGGAGGCTGGGAAATGTAGTCTATCTGTGTACCCAGAAAGAAAAGGAAATGGTCTGGGGGCTGCACAGCAGTCTGGGCCACAGGGCTCAATAAATACTCATTGACAGCCTGAGTGAATGGATGCTCTGTCCAAGGTATCTCTTTGTAGGTTGGGGAGGAGGAGCAGAGGGCTGGTTCTCTGGAGGGATCCTGAATCTCCGCCATGTTGTCTCCTTAGGACAAGCCACGCCAAGGCCAAAGCAGAGGCAGCGGAACAGGCTGCCGTGGCTGCCAACCAAGAGTCCAACATTGCCCGCACTTTGGCCAGGGAGCTGGCTCCAGACTTCTACCAGCCAGGTAGGGCCAGCCAGGAAGAGGGTGGGCCGGACAGGGTGGGGAAGGTCCCGGGGAGTGGACACTTTTTTTTCCTTTGCTTGCTGGAAAGCTGAGATGCCTAATAGATTCATGAATGCCTGTGAGTTCTAGAAACTGTGGGGCCTGGTGCGAACATGGGATGGGATGACACAAAGGGACTCATGCTGAGACTGCGGAGCTGGTATGGAGGCCCCCAGCAGACTAGCCTCACCCCAGGCTCTTTGCTCTGGGAAATGAGGCTGCAGAGTAAGGAGTACCTGCGGCACTCATGCAGACTTTGCTCTTGGGTTGAGTGGTGGGAGCTCTCCGGGTGGGAGACAGGTGTTCTCTGCATTGAGAATTTTAAGGTGAGTGGATGATTAGATTTGTATTTTCTAAGCCTTATTCTGGCTGCAGCAAAGAGATCAAAGGGAGACTAGATGGAAGGCCTTGGAGCACAAATCCCGGAGGTTAAGTTGCTTCTGGTCACAGTGCCCCCCTGCTGGTCCCAGGAAGAGTGACACTGGCGGCTACCTCTGTCTTGGGTGGTTGTACCAGCAGCTGTCACTATGTGCCAGGCCCTGAGCTCGGCATTTTACATGCATTTTTTCCCACTCAGTTGATCCTTCTATTTGCATTTATGAACTAAGTATGATTAGGCCCATTTTTCAGATAAGGGAATGGAAAGAGATCAGTGTCACCGTTAAGAGCATAAACTGGGTGCTGGTCCTGGCTCTGCCCTTTGTCAGCTGGGTGATTTGGAAAAGAGATTTCACCTCTCTGAGCTCCCTTTCTTCGTGTGTAAAATGGAGGTTAAGTAATAGCGTCAGCCTCGTAGGGTTATTAAAATGATTGAATGAGTTCCTATCTGGACATTGCTTAGACCAGCGCCGGGCACACGGGAGACGGTAGGTGAGAGCTGGCTGAGTGAATACACGAGGCTCAGCGAGTTAAGTGGCTTGCCCGGGATCCCCCGTGGCGGCCCGGGGGTTCAGACCCGGCCCCTCCGTGTTGTCCCTGGCAGGTCCGGAATATCAGAAGCGCCGGCTGCTCCAGGAGATCCTGGAGAACTCGGAGAGCCTGCTGGAGCCCCCCGACCGGAGCCCGGGCGCCGCGGGCCTCCCGGAGCGGCCCCGCGAGAGCCCGCAGCTGCATGAGCGCGAGACCCCTCGGCCGGAGGGAGGGCCCCCGTCGCCGGCCGGGACGCCCCCGCAGCCCAAGCGGCCCCGGCCCGGAGCATCGTCCAAGGACGGCCTGCTGAGCCCGGGCGCCTGGAACGGCGAGTCCGGCCCCGAGGGCAGCCGGCCCGCCACGCCGTCCGAGGGCGCGGGCCGCCGCAGCCCTGCGCGCCCCGCCGCCGAGCACATGGCCATCGAGGCGCTGCAGGCGCCGCCCGCGCCGTCGCGGGAGCCCGAGGTGGCGCTGTACCGCGGCTACCACAGCTACGCCGTGCGCACCGCGCCGCCCGCGCCGCCGCCCTTCGACGACGAGCCCGAGCCCGACGCCGCCGGGTCCGACTCGGCCCCCGCGTCCCCGGCCAGCGCCCCCGCGTCCCCGGCCAGCGCCGCCGCGCCCGACTCCCCCGCCAAGCTGGAGCCCAAGCCCATCGTCCCCAAAGCCGAGCCCAGGGCCAAGGCCCGCAAGACTGAGGCCCGGGGGCTGACCAAGGGCGGGGCCAAGAAGAAGGCTCGGAAGGAGGCGGCGGCCGCGGCGGAGGCCGAGGTGGAGATAGAGGAGGTGAGGCTGGTTCCCTCGACGGGTCGAGCTTGAGGCAGGATTCCGTGCAGAGGACTAGGGAGAGGGTGATGGCACAGGATAGAGCCGGGGGCAACCCCCAGCAGGGATGTGGGCTCAGTCAAGTGTAGACTGATCCCGGAGAACCTGGGAGCATCAATTACCCCGCAGCGCCGCCTCTTCCGGGCAGGGGCAGGCCTTTGTACCTGCTGTCTAGTCAGCAGGGGGCAGTTCTTTGGAGAATGGGGCGCTAGGGGCCCTAAGCAGCTGGGGGTGGGTGCACCTGCCGGATCAGAGAGATCTGGGCGGGGCACCAGCAGCATCTGCTTCCCGGTGTAGCAGGGAGGCCTTCCTAGTGGGGGTGGAGGAAGGGCCCAAGGGGGCTTGGGTCCTTGTCCTCCCGGCTTTTTATGGGAGGCTGGGAGCTGGGAACTGAAGCGACGGAGAGGGAAGCTGGGCTCTGAGGGACTGACGAATGCGGCTCCAGAGGAATTAGCAGTGGGGAAGGCCGAGCTCCTGGGTTCCAGGCGCAGCCCAGCCCAATGTGTACTTTGGGGCACGCTCCTGCGCCTCTCTGGGCCCCGAGCCATTTGGTAAATTATTTCTCAGAATCCTCTGGCTCTGATGGTCTGCTGTCCTCTGCTGGACACAGCAGTGAGCAAAACGGGGTAGGGGGGTACTCTCAGGAGGAGCCTTCTGTAAGTTACTGCTGCTGTGTCCAGCCTTGCTGTGACTTGTGGGGGACATGTTTCAGAGGCCGGGGGACTCAGGCGGCCCCTCTGCGCTATTCCCAGGTCCCCAACACCGTCCTCATCTGCATGGTGATCCTGCTCAACATCGGCCTGGCCATCCTCTTCGTTCACCTCCTGACCTGACCCTCGGCTACCAGGTGCGGCCAGGAGGAGGCGTTGGGAGCACACAGAGCTCTGGGCGGCAGGGTGATGGGACGGGCCTGCTGCCTCCTGGGCGTCTGTCCTGCGGTTAGTTGAGACCCACCCCCCAGCAGAGGCAGGGGCCTAGAGTGTGAACTTGATAGATTCTGCCCTCCACACACGCACACACACATGCGCAGGCACACACACACACACCCCTCATTAGCTCACATCTGCAGAGCACCTGTCCTCTGTCAGGTGAGCAGTGGGGCTTCACCCACTCATTCGCTCACTCGTTCATTCATTTGACCAACATTTACTGAGCAGCCACTCTGCTGGGACCTAGGGGCGCAGCAGCCACTCCCTCCTGCCCTAGGAAATGGAGCGCACGACAGGAGTAAACCCTTCACCTCCGGCTTACTTGGTAAAGCCTTGCAGGTCAGACATCAAGCAAAGCAGTTCTTGACTCCCTCCCCCCAGCCCCCCAGGTCCAGACGGAGTCCACTTGGGACGGCCAATCCTCTTCTCTCTGCCCTCCTCTCTTCCGGTAACCCTGCTGTCAGTCAGTTGGTTCCATCACTTGGTTTTCTCCCATGATGGAGCTGGGGGGAGGGGTGCTGTGTAAGGCCCCATGACAAGAAGGTGAGGTGGGCTGGGCTGAAAGAAAGTGGCCCCCACTGACCTCAGGGTGAAGTGTCTACAGGACGGAGTCCTCCTCCTGCCCGGCCCAGCCTTTACACTGTCAGTCCCTTGCTTCATGATGCCAGTGGAGTTTCTGCCTCTTGCCCCGCCCCCCACGAAGTCCCCCTTCATGGATCCTAGCTTAGTGTAGGCTGGAGGGTCCTCCTCAGTCCCAGAGAAGGAGAAGAGCTCCCTGTCCTGTCACCGTCTAAATAGCCAATGACAATATTAGCCTGGTCGGTGCCGACCTGGGGGTGAATGCTGAGCCCCGAGGGGTCCCTGGTTCATAGGGGATCTGGGAACGATGGCTGCAGGGACTGAGGATGGAGTGACCTGAAGGATGGGAAGAGTGAACCAGATGGCAGTGGGGGAGGAGGAAGGGAGGGAGAGGGAACCAGGCAAAGGAGACGGCACTGCAGACAAGCAGAGGCAGCATCCCCAGGAGAATGAAGCCGGCCTGAGGGCCCAGGGAGGCCTCAGGGACTGTCTCTGAACCCTGAGTCAGAGCCAAGGGGCAAGGCTGCCCTGGGGGCCTAGGAGGCGGGATCTTACCCCAGGGAAGATCAAGCCTGAGGCTTGAACTCTGCCTTGAACCTGGCTCAGCTCTCCCTCCCTCCCTTGCTCCCTCGCCTGACACTCTTGCTGTCTCTTTGCAGAGCCAGGAATTCCTGCTGAGGACGCAAAGACCCCTCTTTTTGTGGTGCCACGCAGGGTGGCCAAGGAGGACTGGAACCCCTGGGTCCAGCTCACTTCCACACCGCAGGCGTTCAAGGAGGCCTCCCGTGGCGCCCGCACTGGGTGGCGGAGGCACCCAGAGGACTCGAATGCACAGGGAGGCCCCCAGGGAAGAGCCCTGGTCTCTGGAGCTCCCTGACCTGCTCCCGTCCCTCCCTCTCCCATGCTCCCTCACCCCACCCGTAGGTCCCCTCCACCCCAGGCTTTTGTGTGTTTTGGGGGAAGTCCCCAAATCAGGATGTTAATAATAAATCCCAGCCCCCTTCTTCCGCCCTTCCCTTGCTTATTTTAGCCTCTGGCTGCAGGGCCGGGGCCCCCAAGCAAGCGGGGGGAGTGATAGGACTCCTGTGGTGGGCCAGCAAGGGATGCAGTCTCAGCACAGGGGCCCTTCCTTCGCAGGCTTGATCCAGCACACACCTGTCCCTTGCTTACAGATGTTCTGGATGACAATAGAGGAAATGGATATGCTCAGCTTCAATATCCCAGGAGACAGTGCTCCCATCTCCTCCCACCGGTCCAGTTGGCTTCCCTTCTGGACCAATGGAAGAGGGGGAGATGTAAGGAATTGGAACCTTTAGCTGGGAAGCCACTGACCAGGTGGTGGGGGGTGGGAGTGGGAAGACGGGCTAAGGGGCCGTTAGGATGGCCCCTGTTTTGAGTGTGCCTGAGCCCAAGGTTGGCATTGCATTTAGGGCTCCCAGTGTGCTCAGAGTGCTCAGGGTCACCCTGGGGGAGCCCCGGGGCTGACAAGGTAGAGCTCCTGTGAGGCCCTGTGAACTGGTTTGTCCACACCCCAGCTCAGGGGAGCAGGAGTGGAAGCCCTCGGAAGCCCAGGCAGACCTCCCTGGGGCAGACTAGCAGGCAGGTGCTAAACAGGCTCCTTGTCAACAGCCTTTCCCGGGGAGGGAGGAGGAAGTCTGGGCTCCCACTGGGCGCAGTCTGTGCAATAATTAGCCCTTTGGCTTGTTTGGCAGAAGAGAGTGTTTGCATGTAGCCCATTACAGATGTTTGGTACCACACTGGGTCACTGGGCCCTTGTGCTTGCTGGGGGTGGCTGGAGGCTGAGGGATTATGGTACCCTGCCCCCGGGAGGACAGAAGGAGTGGCCCCTCTCAGTTGGGGGAAGGATGTGGTGACAGCATCCAAGCAGAGGTATGGAGAACTGTGGCCCTTCTGCCTTGGTTTCTCTGGACCTGGGGCCTTTGGCGTGGTGACCTGGCCTCTGGGGGCAGCTCTACGACCTGCGGTTTGCTTCTGATGGGGTCAGCTCTCCCTTTCCCCCCAGTTCTAGGCAGCCTTCCTCCAGCTTCACACTTGCTGTTTCAAGCACTGCTGGGGACTCGGGGTGTGGCTGGAATCTTGGACTGCGTTTCTCGGATTCTCCCATCCCCACCAGGGCCCGTGGCTCTGCATCTGTGTTTGGGCTTTTCTGGCCTCCTAGGGAATGTAGGGGGATGGCCGGGGGCACTGCTCAGGCTGACAGGCTCCAGGTTTTCGGCCTGGCCCAGTGCTAAGGATTAAGCCTCCCGCTGCCAGAGCTCCCAGGCCTAGTTTTGGGGCTGGTGTTTGGGGCGAGGGTTCAGGATGCTGCAGTCTGTGCAATAATAAACGTGCATCTGCTCACGGGCTCTGGCTGGGCTGTGGTGTCTGCTTGTGGGCCCAGGATGAGGGACTGGCTGAGGGAGGGCGACAGTGGCTGGGGGCCTCTGGGTCATGCTGGTCCAGGCCCCCTCCCCTCTCTCTTATAATTCCCATAATACCTTGTGAGGAGCAGCTGAGGGGCGTCGGTCCTGGAGGGGTGGCTCAAAGGCCACAGACCTCCTAGGGAAGACCCTGAGTTTCTAAAGCGGACTTCCAGAAGCTTCCCTGAGCGGCATATGATAGAAGAAAGAGCCTACCCTTTGAGGTCGGGTCTCCTTGGGCTCCAGTCCTCCTCAGCCACTTACTTCACTTCTCTGACCCTCAGTTTCCTCATTTGTGAAATGTGGAAAATAACTACCTACTTCCTGGGGTCATGGTGAGGATTACATTGACTACTGAAGCAATGTGTGTAAAGCCGAGCCATGGAAAGCAGTTGAGAAATGGAAACTGTATCATTATTGCTGTTAGACTGCATTACTGTCAGTAGCCCTCTCACATTTTCATGGAGGACCCCGGAAGCCCGCACGGGGTTGAGATGATTCAGGCCCAGTCAGATAGTCTGGAATGTCTCAGTCAGAACCGGACCCGGAGACCATCTTCGTACTTTACAGAGGCTCAGAGAGAAGAAAAGACTTGCCTAAGGTCACACTACACGTCAGTGGCGGGAAAGCAGTTGTCTTGACTTGGTTCACCAAGGTTCTCTCAAAGCTGGCAGCCCCCAAGACGGTTGGCAGGGAGGGTCCCTCGCCCATCGACAGGCTTGAGTTCAGGCAGGTCCCGGAGGGGCTTGGTGAGCAGGAGTCTGCTGCCACTGACTTGCTGTGTGTCAGTCACCTGTGCCTCAGTTTCCTCTTCTGCCAAAAGACCATAATCCCTGCTCCGTTGCCTTCGTCACAGTAGTGCAGATGTGAGAATCAAATGGGGTGGCTTATGGGCAGTAAAGAGTTTTCAAAACCTTAGAATGGTCCAGGGATCCCCAGGAAGAAGGGTGGGTTTGGTGGGACCTCGGAAGTGATGAGAGTGGGAATGAGGAGGGAGTCATTTTCATCTGCAGATGTTTTGATAAAACCCACAGGGGAAGGGAGAGGCAGGGAGCCCAGTCAGCTGGTCTGTAGACGGGCTCTGTGTGTGCGTGTGTGCGTGTGCAAGTGTGTGCAGAAAGTGGGAGTGAGGGGTGGGGTCAGCGGGATGGCTACATTAGAATCATCTTGGATGGCTTGAAAAGAAGGCTCGTTGCTGAGCCCCCATTGGAACCTCGACGTCCTGGAAGGTTGGTTGGAGTTGGGCGTCCCCTGGTGGCTCAGGCACAGCACACAGCCTGGCTGGTGCCCCTTCCGATCTCCACTGGCCCCTTTAGGAAGTTTGTCCTCGTCCTCTGCCACGTCCAGGATCCACGTAAGGTGTCTTGTGCCCTGAGGGAACTTGAAACCACCCTGTGGGCATTGCCGGGGCTTATGAACACTGACCGCTGCCTTGGAGTCTCGTTAGGGCTCTTCCAGGGCGGAGAAAGGGAGAGGGCCCAGCAGCTGTGGGATTCAGATGTGGGATTGGTGGTAAGAAGGGAATTTTCGTAATCTCTGATGGACCCACGGAGGATTGGGCTGTGCTGGGAGAGATGTTCGAGATGCTTTTGGCTGCACGTAACAGAAAACCAGCCAGATGGTCGGAAGCCTTTGGGGGCCTCAAGCCTGAAAGAGTTATATGGAGCAGCCTTAATATGTAACTCAAAATAAAAACAATACCTAAACCGTAAAACAGAAAACTTGCATGTATGCTGAAATTAAAACAGCTCAATTTTTTTTCCTTTGTGCAAAATTCTGACTGTGCCTACGGAGGCTGGACTTCTCCCTCCCTCCCCCTTGCTCCGCCCCTGTCTTGCTGGTCCACCAAGAGGAGGGAAACCCCACGCTCAGTGGAGTCAGGCGGCGCTGGGCAGGCACCGTGCTGAGCCCTCCACTTCCTCTGGGTGGTGGCAGAGCAGCAGTGTGGTTCGGTGCAGGAGCTCTGAGGTCGGGTCGCTGGTTGGAATCCTGGCTCTGTCCTGTGACATTCCAAACCTTGCTATTTCCTTTTCCAGGATGATGATTACCACGCTACCTGCCTCTTAAGATTAAAAACATGAATAAAGCACTTAAAACAAGGCCTAGCATGGAGTGAGCACATGATAAATAAGCTCTCATTATTCAATCTTCACAACAATTCTGACATAGATCTATCACCCCATTTTACAGATGGGGAAATTGAGGCCTGGAGAGATGGAGTGATTTGTTCAAGGTATCAGAGCGAGGGGAGGGCAGAGCTGCAATGGAAACCCGGAGCCTGTGCTCTTTCCGCAGAACCACACTGCCTCCCACAGCGCAGGAGTGAGCTCCCCGTCACTGGAGATGAGCCAGCTGAGGGCAGGTGGCTACTGACCCGGCAGGGCATGGTTGGGGGGAGGGGCTTGCTGGGAACTGGGCAGCTGGAGGAGGGAGGAGGGGTGCTTGCTGTCCAGAAGGGGGCGGGAGCTCCATGCCCAGATGAACCTTTTGGGCCAGTAGATCAATGAGATGAGCAGTAGCTGTCAGAGCTGGAAGGAGGCTCAGAGACTATCTAATCCAGCCCCTCCTCAGGTGGGGAGACGGGCCCAGAGAAGTGAATGGAGTGTCTCAAAATCACACAGTGATTCTGTCAGAATGAGGACTAAAAAGTGCTACCGTCCAGGCCCAGCTAGCTTCATGGTCCTCACACTTAGTTTAATGCTCTGCTGTCACCATCTTGAAGTTCTCAATAATTTTTGAACAAGGGGCCCCACATTCTCATTTTACACTGGGTCCATACATCACGTAGCTCCTCCTGCACCATCTACTGGGAGTGGGCTCGAGTGTGCCAGGCACGTATCTGTCATGTACCTACTGTTATTTTGCCCATTTTACAGATGCAGAAACTGACGGTCAAAGATGTTGAGTACATTAACCAGGGCCAGGATTTAAACCTGCACAGTCTGACTTCAGAGATGTCCTCATAGGGGTGACACCATGTTGCCCCCTGGGGAAAGGCCCTGGGCTCTGGGCCACCTGGTGGCTCGTGCTTAGACCCACTCAGGCTCGTGTTTCCAAAGTGGCTCCAGTGGGAAAAGGGGATGAGAGAGGAGGAGGATCACAAGGGGCAGCGTCCCCCAAGAATGAGATATCAGTGGGCGGAAGGGGGACGACCAGCCTCCTTCTTTTCCTGGACAACCAGCTTCTGAGAATTCACCCACTGACCAGGGCACCCTCCGAGTGGATTACACAAAACCATCTAAGCACACAATGTCAGGATGCTTTAGGCTGCGTGTAACAGAAAACCAAAGTCATGAAAAGCTTTAAGGACACGATTTTAGAAAATCATATCTAATATGAGGTTTGGTGGTGGGCTGCATGGTCCGCAGAGACTTTCATCAAGGACCCAGTTTCCTTCCATCTTTTTCTTCTGCCCGGCTCACAGCAGGTACACTTGAGAAAACTTTCTTCATAGTCACAGAATGGCTGCTGCTGTTCCAGGTGTCTGGGCTCCCTATACCCAAGTTCAGAGGCGGAAGAGAACAAGTTCTTCCTGTTTAATTTTTAGCTGCCAAGAAACTTTCCCTAAGAGCCCAAACTCGCCCTGGCAGAGTTCTCCCCTCATCTCATTGGCCCGTTCCTAAGCCAATCACTGGTAAGTGGACTGATTCTGACCAATTAGGATTCACCTGAGTCACGGGGGTGGGGTGGGTCCTGGATTAAACCCCTGCACAGGCAGCGTGGAGGAAGGAAAAGGACTGTTTGCTTTTTGGTGTAGATTTGCTTCTGGCCCATAAGGGTAAGGGGGCGTGGCTGTGTGCTGGTGATGCCTTGGGCAGTGAGGGGACAAGGCAGTGTTGATGGAGTGTGCACAGTGTCCTAGGAGATTGACATAAATTGGATCATTTAATATGGGCCACACAGTAACCCTGTGAGGTTGGTATTTATTATTCTCATTTTACAGATGAAGAAATGGAGGCTCAGAGAGGGGAAGCGACTTGCCTGTGGACACACAGTAAGGGCCAAAGCTGGGCCTGGGCCTGGAGCAGACTGGCTCCAAACCTGCTCTCAGCCACCGGACCCTAAATGTCCTCTCCGTGATTCTGACTGTAACAAGGAGAGGAGACAGAACAACAGGGACCAGACAGCAGAGGGTGGGCGAAGGGGTGACTTGGAAGCAGGTGATGGGAACTGAGAAGAACTGGTCCAGGAGAACGGATGGGGGGTCTAGGAGCTGGAGCTGAAAGTGGCCACTTGAGAGGACGGACGAGTTCAGTGAGGCACTTAAGACAGTCGGAGACCTGCCAGGACTGGAGAGAGCAAGGGGTTTACAGGGGGCCCCCTGCGTGTGGGGACCAAGCACACAGGCCAGTCAGCGGGGCCTTGTGTTCAGAGGTCAGCTCTGGCAGTAATGGCGGGCTTGGCCCATAGCCCTCTTGGAGCTCCTGGCGTTTCATTGGAATTAATTGCTAAAATGTTTGAAAGCAAGTTACTTGGGAATAGGCATTGGTTTCTTGACTCATGGAGGAGGGCTTTATGAGGCCTCGCTTTTGTGTGTGTGTAAGGGTTTCGCGCCCAGATGCAATGGTACTTGAAGAGTCCTCGTCAGACGGCGCAGTGTGGAACCTCTGGCAAGTCCAGCAGGAGAATCACAGTGCAGACCCCTGAGTTCCGGGGCAAAGACATGCCCTCTTCTCCAGAGAAAGACATCGGGACTTGCTGTTGGGTCCTGGTAGAGACTAAAAACCTGGCCATCAGGCCCCCGAGGCAGACATTCGGGAGTGGACAACAGCAGCCCATCATCAAGAGGAAATGGCGCGTTCCGGGTCGGGCTCGCTCTGGTCCTCAAGGTACAGGCAAGTTTTGCGTGAGCAGGGAGGGCAGGCCCCCAGGGCTGTTGCTTCGGATGCTTTGCTGCCGGTCCGTCACTGCGCAGGTCTGGTCCCAGGGAAGTTCCCGCTGGTG